AATAAATTATATATAATAATACATAATGAAATAGATCAATAAATCACTAATTTATTGATATCTTAATGTATTTAAAACTAGTTGCAATGAAAGCAAGGGAAAAATTCTATTCATTTGAAAAATTTAAGGCAAATTTTGCCAAAATTTGTAGGTTTTGAAAATTATATTTTCACATAGTCAGTAAAAACAAATCAAGACATGAAAAATAACAGGAATTTATGCTGTTACCGGCAAGGATTTGTGGTGAAAACTGAAAATGGCACCAGCTCTCTGAATTCCTCAGTAATATGTTCAGCCAGTGGAGGCCTAAAATAAGTAGGAACAGATGTAGCAACAAAGACCTTTAACTATTTAACTCAAAATTCCAAACTTTGGGAAGAGGTGAAGCAAACTGACCTTGGCAAGACAGAACCAGGACCAGGATCTTCAGGGCCAGGGACAAACACAAATCTGCTACTGTAAAAGGTTCAACAAATCACTTTTACACAAACTGACCCGAGAAACCAGGTCTGACGTGCTGAAGTCAAAGACCAGGAGCCAGAAAAATCCTCCAGGGAGAGACTTTGGCTCCCTCATTAGCAGTTTCCATGCCCAAGCTGGTTCAGATAAAATCAGAACCTTACACTGCTCCCGAAACAAACTTAGAATGATCAGCAAATGTGATGTACCTTAGTTTCTTAAAGTAATGAAAGATTTCACAACCAGATTTCCCTGCTCACAGCACTTTGTACCTTTTATGGATGCTGGGGTATTCACAGATAATATCTGCAAGAGCCTTCAAAGAGCCTGGAATCAGGAAAAATGGGATACAACATCTGGTTAGACAACAGACTCTGTTTTGTACCTCAGTACATTAGAAATGCATCACTTAACAGGGTTTATTTTCTGCTTTCTTCATTGGTTTGCCATCATTGCTTGAGTGGAATGCACATGTCTGACTGTACATAAACTTACCTTTCAGTGACTGAATCTGATTCTTTCCATATGGAGCAGATGAAAAATTCCCACAGAAGAAAAAGCAGGTGGGAGGTGCAGAGGAATAACCTGGGAAAAGAGGAGCTGTGAGTGTGTCTGTTCCTTCAGCACCTGCTTCAGCCTCCAGCCCATGCCAGAAACTGAACCAGCATTTCAAGCTCTGCTGCTATTAATACACAGGAACTGCTCCTTGATACACACTGGGTTTAGCTCAAAAAGGGTGATGATAAGTCACAAATGTCGCTTCAAGGGAGTCCTCTGTTATTTCCAGCCCCAGTTCCAACACTGTGTGTGTGTATCCAATGATGGACCCAGTCAGAATTACACAAAGGATAATGATAATAAATAATACAATTAAAAAATGTACTATTTCCTCATGTCGAAAATCAGCAAGTAGGCAGCAATGGGTTGCTATTAACCTCCAGGATCATTGCAATCCCAGGGCTTTATCATTTAATTCCCTCTTTGGCATTACAAAGCAACAGCAGCTGGAATTGCCTGAGCATTTTAAGGGTGTGATGAATGCTCACAGTCTCCCTAATCACCCAGAAACACACATAGGAAAGGGTGAAAAGAGAAACCTGATTCCCATTCCTGAAGCAAAAATAGAAACCTCTGCTTAGGCATTCAGCTCACATTCCAGTTACTCTCCATTTTCCTAGCATGCAGGACCAGACTTGGATTTACCTCACTGGTTTTCAATTGAGTTGGTAAATAGAACAGAATTGCTTAGAGCAGAGAAATTGCTCATCAATATTTTCCCTTGCTGTTCCACTCAGCTTTGCCTTTTAGTTTCTAATTATGAAGGTAATTATTTGCCTATTAAAGTCTCAAGATAGTAAATGCAAGGTCTGCATCTTTGTCAGGTGAGTTCAGTGCATGAATCTCCCTGTCCAAAATCCCCTTGCTACTCCAGCACCTGCAAACTTGGGTCAAGCCCAGTTTGCTTCAAGCATCTGCCAGTTCTGGTTGAGATAGAGAACTGGTTTTGTAGCTTCTGTCTGAGTGTGATAATTTGTGTCCAGTTTTCTTTGGGTGAGGAGCAGTTTCCCACCCTTAATTCTATATGGTTTACTTTTACAGCATTCACCCCTCACACTTCCATTCTGCCTGAGGGAGACAGGACAAGCTGCTCCAAAACTGCTCTGAAATAAAACAACTCACAGACAACTTGTTATCCAGATGTTGTCAGCATTACTGATCATAGAATCCCAGAGTGGTTTGGGTTGGAAGGGACCTTGAATACCATCTCATTCCACCCCTGCCAAAGGCAGGAACACTTTCTGCCAGCCCAGGTTGTTCCAAGCCCCATCCAGCCTGGCCTGGAACACTCCCAGGGATGGAGCAGCCACAGCTGCTCTGAGCAACCTGTGCCAGTGCCTCAGCACCCCACAGCCAGAAATTCCTTCCCAGTATCCAATCTAAACCTACTCTATGTGAGTCTGAAGCAATGTTCATGTCTCTGAATGAGGAAGCCCAGGAAGAACATTCAGGAACACGGGAAACATTCTTAACACAGCCCATAAAATGGCTACTGGCCAAAATAATATTAGTAGTAAGAACTGAATTATGAAAACAAAGTTTCAAGTCAAAGCAATTCTCACTTACCTGCAAACATTATGTGAAGCTTTTCCAGCACCTCTGCTTGGTCCAACCACACATCAGACAGAAACACAAACATGGCATCTTCATTCTCATCCTCCAGCTGCTTTAGCTTTGCAGAAGCCTTTACTGAAGATGAAGAAGGTCCTCCAAAGAAGTTTATGTTCCCATAGAAGGCTCTAAATAATTAAAATACTCAAGTTAGCCCTGATTTAGTCCCAAATCACTAGTAGTTTTGATTATGACTCACTTAAAACATTTAGCAGCAATAGCAGTAGTAGCTCAGATGGTATCAATAATCATTTAGTACTTCTTCAAGGAAGAGAAATGGTACCTAGACATAAAGCTGGAGGGTTGCCCTGCCAGAACTTAGATCATCTCAGGGCAATATTTATCCTGGGTTCTTTCCCACATCCATCCAGGATGGACTCCCCATCCCTGGGAGTGTTCCAGGCCAGATTGGATGGGGCTTGGAGCAACCTGAGCTAGTGGAAGGTGTCCCTGGCCATGGCAGGGAGTGGAACCAGATGAGCTTTAGGGTCCTTCCAACCCAAATCAGTCTGGGATTCTTCAATCTACATGGAATTTGTTATTCCCATGTAATAATTACTTAGTTTTGCAATTGAGAAGGGCTTAAATTCCAATTGTTACTAACAGACAGAGCCCAAAGGCCTTTGGAAGGATTTTCTTGCCAACACTCCACGATTTAGTGCTGGTCCAACCAGACCAGCAAGTCCCAGAATTGGTCCCTTAAAACTGTATTTATTTGGAAGCATTTGGGAAAGAGGCAGAAAAATGGACTTGAATGTCACAGAAACATAAAATAATCATGATTTTCTTTAGGAACCCATAAGAAAAAAGAAATGAGGCTGCCAAAAGTCAGTTTTATACCTCGTGGTAGCAGAAGGTTCAGTGGGAGGAAATCCAAAAGCATTCACATGAAACACTTCATCTTCATACCAACCTGCGAGATTTTGGAACAAGAAAACACCCTTTAGTTTTTCTAACAGAATCAAGTCCTAGACATTAGTCAGAGAGTTGGCAGCTGTGCTGCTCAGCTAGTCCAGTCGCAGCCTCCACCAACCCCGTCTGGTGATAGCACCAGAACCAGAGCATGGAACTATGTGCCTGGAAAACAGGCTGAGCAAGAAAACAGCTATTTGTTTAACCCCAGACACTTCTCTGAGTGGCTTTGCTGCACAGCCACACAACAACCTTCTCAACCCAGCCGAGGAGGAATGTAGGTGAACAGGAATCATTTTTGATTGCCTGTCCTGAAGCGTCTCCATCAAACTGTACCTTGGCTCAAGAACTGTTAGAGGAACACAACAGGGAGATACTTGTCCCCATTTGTGCTCCTAACTTCTGTTTACTCTCTATATTTTAGCAATGAAACACATGAGAAAACAGCCTAAGTATGTTGCACAGAGGAATATTCTACAAACAGAAATAGTCTATTTTTTGGCTAAAAGAAGGCTCCCAAACTGCAGGCTCTGACATCCCCCCAAGGAGAAATCTCATTAAACCTCTGAAGGAGCAAAGCTTTGCCAACACAAAGCAGCAGTTTCACATGGTTAAATCATACTGTTTGGTTATTCTTGTCTGTCGTCCTAATCCAGTCATAACTCCACATTGGAGCCAGGCTGAGGCCAATCCTCATAGCTGTTACAGATGTTCACATCCCCCCAACACCCTGAAACCCCCTAATTTCAGCCTCTGCCTCCTGAGCCTCCAAGGCAACGTGAAAGGCTTATAGCCAGAAATCCCAGTCACAAACTCACTTATGGTCATGCCTCACCAACATGAGACTTGTTCGTTGAGCCACATCTGGCAGAGAAGTAACTGCAGTGACAGCCATGAGCAGAATAATTTATTACAAGCTAAGAAAACTTTACCTTCTGCCAGAACAAAGCAGGATTCGGTATATAAACCACTGTGGAACTGGTGCAGGAAGGTTAAGGAATGTATTTTTCTTAGATCAGGACTATTAAACTAAGTACTTTGGCCAAAGTTTCCAGATGGTGGAATGTATTTGGACACTACTGAAAGTTCACAGGCCTGGAAATTACCTGGTACCTGAGCAGGTAAGTGCATAAAGAGTCCACAAACAGGATCAGGCTCTGCTTCCAGAAGGAGGAATACTGACCTTGTCCTAAGAGAAAGGGATGGAGCTGCAGCAGCCAAGGAATTTGAAATGAAGTCAAAAACCAGAGCTGCAATTCCCAATGCAGAATTTTTAATGGTAATGATTTATTGTTCAATTTAAAATTCTACAGGAAATTCCTTCAGCTCTTCCATCACAGAAAAAGGATATTGCTTTACTGAGGTCTAGCTGGACAACTCCTGTGGGATCTTCTAGGAAAAATTTCCCCTAAAAAACAGAATTAATAAAGCAAAATATACCCAAACACACAAATGCTTCAATCAGCAGCTTCAATCAGTCAGCACTTAGAAATAATTCGGCTGGTTTTAATACTGTAAGTTTAGAGCACAGTGGCAGAACTGAAAATCATGTGGTTTATAGTACGTGTATCACAGCAGCTTCCCCTTGAGCTGCTGCAGTTGCGGTTGCTGGTGCATCTCTGCCCTAAAATCACAGCCCAGGGCAATGGCAAGTCCAAACACAGTCAGTGGAAGCTCCTGTCTTTCAGGAAGGGACATGCCTAAACACTCTGACTGGTTCTGGTTGCTGACATAAAGCATTACAAAACTCTGCAGTGAGAACCACAGAATGGGTCAGGCTGGAAGGGCCCACAGTGGGTCACTGGTCCCACCTCACTGCTCCAGCAGGGCCAGCCCAGAGCACATGGCTCAGGGTTGTGTCCAGATGGTTCTGGAATATCTCCAGTGAGGAGACTCCGCAGCCTCTCTGAGCAATCTATTCAGTGCTTGGTCACTGCACAGGGAAGAAGTTCTTCCTCATGTTCAGGTGGAACTTCCTGGGCAGCAGTTTTTACTGTTCCCACTTGGCTTATTGGTTTTCACCTCTGAGTCAAGTCTGATCATCCTTTGACACCTCTTAATGGACCTGAATCCATCAGTGAGGTCCCTCTCAGTGTCTCTTCTCAAGGCTGAATAACCCCAACTCCCTCAGCCTTGCCACCTCAGTAGGTGGCTCCAGTCCCTTCAGCATCTTCCTTGCCCTCCCCTGGAGCTGCTCCAGGAGCTCCATGTCCCTCTGGCACTGGGGAGCCCTGAACTGGACACAAAACTCCAGATGTGCCTCACGAGGGCTGAGCAGAGGGGCAGGATCCCCTCCCTGAGCTGCTGGCAAGGCTCTTCCTAATGCATCCCAGGATCCCATTGGCCTTCTTGGCCACAAGGTCACACTGTTGGCTCATGGACAGCCTGTTGGCCACCAGGACCCCCAGGTCCTTCACTGCAGAGCTGCTCTCCAGCAGGTCAGTGCCCAACCTGTGCTTGTCTTGGGGTTATTCTTCCCCAGGAGCAGGAGCCACACTTGCTCTTGCTGAATCTCAGTTGGTTCTGCTCTGCCCATCTCTCCAACCTGTCAAGGTCCCTCTGAAGGGCAGCACAGCCCTCTGAGGTATCAGCCACTCTTCCTAGTTCTGTATCACCAGGAACATGCTGAGAAGGCAACTCTGTCCCCTCAGCCAAGTCAGTGATGAAAGAGTTGAAGAATACTAGGCCCAGTATAGAGCCCTGGGGGACTCCACTAGTGACAATCTCCAACTAGACTCTGTGCCACTGATTGCAACTCTGAAGACAAAGAAGACAAAGACATTTTCCCCTTACTGCCACTGACTGACTGTGGATAAGTCTCTTAGGGAAAGGATCTAGTAGTGAGATATTTCAGTCTTCTCATTTTCTAGTGTAACACTGAACAGTGACCTGGATACTCCACGATACAAAGCAACTCACCTCCTTAAGCTGAGTGATCATCCCAAGCACAATCACTTCTCCCACTTTAGCTGTGTTGCCCAGGAGAGTTTCTACTGTCTTTAGCTGGAACCAAAGGCAAAGAATCACATGGGAATTCAATCAAAACTCTCCAGGTATCTATTCTAAGCAAGACAAAGCACCACACAGCATGTGGTTGTACATAACCACACCAATGAGCTATGAGAGGACAAGGTAGGCAAATCAGGGACATGTTTCTCAATGTAGCACAGTTTAGGAAAAGATCTCCAATAATGGCTCCTAGCCCAAATAACTGTTGTGACTGTTTTGCTCACAACCTGATTAAAACTGAAAAGAAAAACAAATTTTTTACCTGGAATTTGCTCTTGCTGTCATCAGGGTGAGCCACAATTGGTGAAGGAGCAAACAACTCATGTCTGTGAGTCCTCTGCAGGGATCAAAATGGAAGTAGTTCAGTTGAAAAATACATGAGCACTGCCAAAAATCCAGTTCACTCTGCAAAACAGCTGATAAAATTCTTACTCTGTTTTTCTCCAATAACTTTAACACTCAGTTCTTTGGACAAGAAATATATGATCAGTAATAATAAATAATAATAATAAAACTAAGCCTGAAAAAGTACCATCAAAGCATCTGTAATGCTTCTAAAAGAGGTTATTTCTGATGGCCCAGAAGGCAGAGAGTTTATGTGAAACCATCAGGCAAAGAGGTGAAACAGCACAATGTATTTTTGGAGGAGCATTTGGGATATATCCCCAGGGACACCTCCAGCTGCTGTTCACAGAACCCAAGTGCTCTCTGACCTGCTGTAGGATGGAGTAACGTTCCCGAAACAGCTCTGCTTTATCTCTGGCAGTTCCAAACAGGCTCGGTGCAGGGAAGTTGGTCATTGACAGACTGAAAGAAGTTGCACACAATCAAGAACTTAGCCAAGAAAGGTCCATTCCACACACAAAAATGACTTATTGATCTAAAAGTTCTGGGAGGCTGCAATGCTACAACATTACTGCATGATTTAGTTACTCCATGAGGAAGATTTCTGTCTGAGATCCTTTATTTCTGCATTTTCCAGGCTACATCCACCTTATTTCCCTCTACTCACAGGCCCTGAGATTTATCTTTCCACCTGAATGGGCTTCTGCAGGAATCCATTTAAAAGAAAAAAAAAGCAATTATGCCTTTTAAGTGGCCATGAACAAGAGTATTATTCCTCCAATTTCTCCAGCCTCCAGAATCGGCAGCTGCTCCTAATTTTTCTACTTTAGCATTTGCAGCTCTCCTCAGAAATTCCCTAGGGCTTTGGGGAGCTGCAAGATAGATACTAAGAAATAAATATATGCAACAAACAGACCAAATTTGTTTCAGAAAAAGTTTAAACAGCCTAATGTGAGGAATAAAACAACCCCAAAACTACACTTAGTGATGTGTGTCCTTAGTCTAACTGTCTTTTTATTTATTAAATGGCACAAACGTGGCTGAACTTATTTACTGCCTTTCTATTAGGCTTGAGGTGAACAGACCCATGAGGGAAAGACTAAAAACAGACTTTCAACTATGTAGAAATAGAGGCTTTCTGCTTAAAACAAGAAATGGTTGAAAGTTAAAACATGGAAAACTTACGGTAGAAACTTCTTTCTTTCTGAATTGTAAATAAAACGTGGAATATCAAAGGCTCCAATAATGTTAAAGACATTTTCTCTGAAACAAGAGCACAGCGACAACATTAGCTGAATGTTACCCTGCAACAAACCATTCTGTGGCTCTGTGAAGTGCATGAAACAAACAGCAATAAATATGTTGAACTAAATACAATTTGTTTTGTTCACTGTCACCTTGTGTTATCCCATTTCTTCTGCATCATTGTTTTCTATTCTATTTCCTGCTGGATATGACTGCATTTTCTAATCACATAATTACCCAGAGTTTTCCCTGTGATTTGCAGAGCTTTTCCCTGCAGGACTCTGCACTCAGAATTTCTGCACACAGATTTCTCCTCACCTCTGGAGCAAAACAAACAAGTTAAGCATATAAAGTGACCCAGAGAATTAGTCACACTCAAACCATCTCCATTATAAAGGCTCCGATGACTGGGAGGAAAGTTAAAACCAAATTTGCTTCATTTTGAGAGGCAAATGACAGTACCTAATTGACATGCCCTGAAAACTATTTCTTTCCATGCTTTGCATCACAATGTCAATACCACACAAACACAAAAGGAAACACATTCATCATGATCACAGAGTTCTCAGAAACTCCAGTAATGCTTTGTTATCAGAGAGGGAAAATCAATCAGGGGCTCAAAATAATCAGCTCTGCCACACAGAGGAAAACTTTTCCAAGTGCTTTCAGAAAAGAAAGGCAAAAAATACAACCATTTTCATCTAGAGCAAAGCAAATAAAGACATGAACAGATGTATCACACACAATCACAGCATTTTCATCCCAGAATATCACATTATATTTAGAATCCCCCAGAGACTTATCCACCAGAGCCAATTCTCTGAGGAGGAACATTACTAACCCACAAAGGCAGCACCAGGAAAGACAAAAGCACAGAGCAATTACAGCCTGTGCAGCACTGCAGAAAAATGCCTGACATTTATTTCCTGAGGAGAAATAAGGAAATGCACAGCAAGTCCCATAAACCTCAAATGAAATGAGTAATGTCACCATACATTGCTTCATCTGATGTCTGACTGCATTCCTGGACAGCTGCTTCCACTGTGGATAGTTCAATCATATTAGATGACACTGGAAAAGAAAAATCCCAAGGATTAAAAGTTCCTGGGAAATGTAATAAGGAAGTAGGTCTCAAATATTTAACAAAACAAATAAATGGTGGAGTGTTCTCACAGGAATATATTACAAAAATAAACTATTTTCAGTCAGCTAATGACACATACTGTTTGACAAATGGATCACTTCATCTTGTCACACACTGTTTTACAACTGGATCACTTGATATTGCCATCAAAAGGACACATTTCTGGCCAAGAAATAACCTCCACACACTCTGTGCCCACCATTAACTCCCTAAACAAGACAATTACAGTTAATGCAAAGCTGCCAAATCTACTACAAATGTTTTAGAGCTGAGCTGTCACATTCTGGAGGTTAATTTTGTGCCAGAGCATTATCACAGGGAGAGCTGTCATAAGGAAGTATTCCAATACCATTTTGGAGATAGGCACAGTGTTGTCTTCAGGGATTTAAACTGATACTTGGAATTAAGGATGTTTCCAAACACTGGTACAATAAGCATGTGCTCCCCTGGATTTAATTAGGTATAATAAACAGGAGAGGCTGGGAAGGTTTCCTGAACTCACACCTAAGGCCTGGTGTCTATTTGAAATCATGTTTATATGGATTTGAATTTTCTTGGCCAAAAACTGGAAGTGAGCCCAAGTTTCCTGGTTCTCATGAGCTCTGATCAGGAAACACACACATGTCAGGCATCAGTGTCACCTCTGCCAGTCACATCCTTTAACTGAAGGTGCCACAGCTCCTGTTTGGTGCTGTCATACTGTGTCAGGCCTCTTGGACTGCAGCTGTCAACAACCCCCACCCTCTCTGGACTTGGATTACTGAATAACAAGTGAATTCATTTCTCATTATTTCCTTGGTTTATTTTATCACATAATCCCAGACTGGTTTGTGTTGGAAGGACCTCAAATCTCATCTCATTCCACCCACTGCCATGGGCAGGGACACCTTCCACCAGCCCAGGTTGCTCCAAGCCCCATCCAGCCTGGCCTGGAACACTCCCAGGGATGGAGCAGCCACAGCTGCCAGTGTCTCACCACCCTCACAGGGAAAACTTCTTCGTAAGACCTAACCTAAATTACTCACAGTTTGAAGCCATTCCCCCTTGTCCTGTCTCATAAATAGTCTCTCTCCATTTCAATACTTAAAATTACAGTTTCAAGTACAAACTTTTAGTAACTGGCACTGAAAAATGCTACTATTTTTGGAAAAGTCAGACTGTACCAGGCTGCCAACTTTTTAATTGGCATAAATGTATTGTGCTGACACTGCAAACTTCAGTATTTAACAAAACAAAATGACAACAAATACATCTCTCTCCATCAACCTGTTATACTTGAACAATCCCTTAGTGCCTCTGCTGCCAGTGACTCTGTCTAAATAGCATCAAAAGTGACACATAAACTTGCTTAAGGAAAAGAAACTGTTTACTTACAAGGCTGTTTCTCAACAGCATCGATGACATTGTCAACGACATCGTCAAGTTCTCTTTCACCGACAGACTGAAAAGCTTCAGTGAGATACTTCAGAGCATCCCTAATTCCAGTGGAGAAGGCACAAACAGCAATCAATACCCAATAGTTTGTACAAACCGTGCTGATTTTGGCAGGTGTGCACATCATCACTATATGAAAGTAAAAATCATCACTACTGTATAATACTGCACTAGTTTAAGCCCAAGGAAAAAAAACTCATTGGGATTGAAAATATGGAGGATATGGAGAACCACAGCTTCATACAATCAAACCCATGTTGATGGCACCTCTGGAGATCTGGAAAAGTCAGGCTGTACCCGGCTGCCAACTCTTTAAACGGCTTAAGTGTTTTGTGCTGGCAATGCAAACTTCTGGTTTCCCTTTGGAACTGCCATTTCCTCCTCTCTTAAGGGATGCTAAACACTTGGGAAAGAGATCCCAGAGGTGTCAGGGACAGCATCAGGTAAGACAACCCAACTGAACACCCACCACCAGCACCAGGGAGGGCACCAAGGGGGGACCACAGGCAATTGATGGCAGTACCCACAGCGGGTACTGCAGTGGGTCAGGACATGGTGGGGATGGATGGATGGATGGATGGATGGATGGATGGATGGATGGATGGACAGATGGATGCAAAGGAAGAGGCTCACAGCAGCAGCACTGAGCTTTGGAGGAGAATCCAAACACCCACCACCAGCATCAGGGTGGGCACCAGGGGGGGACCATGGGCAATTGATGGTGGTACCCACGGCAGGTGCTGCAGTGGGTCAGGGCACGATGGGGATGGATGGATGGACAGACGGATGCAAGAGGTCCACAGCAACAGCACTGAGCTTTGGAGGAGACTCCAAATGCTCAAACACTCACCACCAGCATCAGAGAGGGCACCACGGAGGGACCTGGGGCAACTGATGGTGGTACCCATGGTGGGAGCTGCAGTGGGTTGGGACATGATGGGGATGGAAGGAAGGAAAGGAAGGAAGGAAAGGAAGAAAGGAAGGAAAGGAGGGAAAGCAGAGGGCCCACAGCAGCAGCACTGAGCGTTGGAGGAGATTCCAA